TGTGGGAAAATTCTACTACCAGTCCTTCATCACCTTACACGAAATAGGGTGAATACATCTCATTAGTTTTATGCACTCACGGATGAGTATAGTATCTACCTTATTTTGCTCACATCCTCCCAGCAAAGATGATGTCACTTCTCTTTTATTTTTCTTTACAAAGGCAGAAACTTAGGTTCAGATGCATGTAAGTGTAGCCTTTGTTGAAAAAGATCTTCCTCATTCTAGCCGGTTTACTAGTTGTGGTAGAAATATAAAGCATTTAAGGCTATTCTAGTTCAAAATTTTGTTGATTATCTTTTTTATCGCTTAGGCATAATAAAAATATTAGGGAGTTTAACAGTATCTTATGCACTGGGGCCTTGTGAAATTATGAGTCAAAGTGATAGCTATTGATTGGCCCTAGGCCCCTTAGTGTTTAGGGATACGAATTTTAGATAAATCTCAAGCCACTTTTAATTTATTATATTTACACTTATATTTCAGACGCACCGGTCTTCACGTCAGTCAGCTTACATTCAAGATATATTCAAATTTGGTTAGTCATTCCCAGCTTTTAACTATTCATTAAATAAGAATGTATCTGTCATATTTTAAAATGATAAAAATCAAAATAGTTCAATTTTTTCTAAAAAGTTTTACTTGTTTAGCACTGTTAAAGAGCCTTTAATTATTAATATTTCATCAGTTTTTGTGCTTTCATAAGTCTCCTATGCGCCAAGGTTTATAATACTTGCCTCTGGTGCATTAGCATATGAATCATCTTTGGTGACTTAAGACTGGCACTTTAACTTTTCGTAGTTAAATGAGGATAGGACCTTACGATTTTATTGAATTCTACTTTGCTTTCGCATTCAGGGTGAGCTACAGTTTTGATTTCTCCCAGGTCTCTATATCATCCTTAACGGGACAATAAACTGTGTCGTGCTTGTCAAGTGCCAAATATATTACTTAATTGCTAACAGACGCGAGCCAATGGTACAATGCATAAGCAAGCTAGACCCTCCCTATTTCACGGTTTTACCTAGAATGGCGTTGATAAAGCTGATTTATAAAGGCAGAATTCACCCTATTTCGTTTGAGGTGATAAAAACACTAGCAGTTGAATCTTCCCACCTTCTGTTTCGATTAACTTTTAGATAGCTTTGCCTTCCAAAAGATGTTCTTATCTAGGCTGGACTACAGTTACGATCTCGTCTAGGTCTCCTCAGCAACTCCAGTGGGAATCAAACTATGATAATGCAGTGTATGATCTCGATACATTAACCGCTATGCTACACTGACACGAATGCTCTCGGGTCACAGGGCAAAAGTGAAGTTCTGTTCTTATTCAGGATAGATTAGTTGTTTTTAAACACTACTTTGAAAAAAAACACATATTCTAGTACTATAGAAAATACAGTATTTCTAAGTTGACCCTCCTACCACAGAAATGTGATATAGGTAAGGCCTAGGCTTCTTTGAAATCCCCTTCCGTTTCGTGACTAAAGGGCACTTGTGGCAGTTCAGCATAATGGTCAATGTGTCAAGATTATAAACCTCACTACATGTATTCGAGTCCCCTTGGGGACTCTGATGAGATTATTGTGATACGAGGACAGAAGCTGTCACTACAATAGTAAACGCTCGCGCTCTGCAACTTAATGTTAGATTGGATACCCCGGGATGAAGAGCGAAAATCAAAAATTGTATCGCAAAGTATCCTATTTAGAACCAGCTGAAGTGCAGAATAGAGCTGAGAATAGAGTCATTTATTGAGGGCGACGCATAATATAATAGTCCAAAATCGGCGGGCCATAGTGGGGCGGAGAAAGAAAAGGAAGAAAACGTGACCAACCTAGATGATATGTTTGCTGCCTGAAATAGCCTTGAGTACTTTTGCATGTCACATTCCGACTGGTTCAAGAGATAGGCACGATGCATTGCCAAGCTTTGGTAGGTAGACGTGAAATAAATTGAGATTTAGTCATACTCTCCCCTGGTCTTTGTCAAAAGGTGTCGGGCCATTGCTACGTACGTACTATAACAAAACTAAACAGTGAATGTGAAAGCGTAGGGATAGGTTACTACAAGACCTAGGCGAGGTCTAAACGGCAGTCTTCTCCCTCTTGGGTGAGAATAGCTTTTGGGAAGAAGGGTTATGTAAAATTTAGTGGAAAAATGAAGCCTACTCATATAACTATGAGAAAATTCAACTACCAATCATTCATCATCTTAAACTAAATAGGATGAATGCAGCTCTTATATCAGATATACTTTAAATCTCCAAGACATACTTATTAAACTAAATTCTATTTATATTTTTCATTCAAATTTTCCACATTACTATATACATATTTATTGGGTTTTTAAACATTATAATTGAATCTAACATAAAAGTGCCTCCTATGAGGCTTTCTCACCTGGATCGAACTACACTTAGAACCTTGCTTAAGTCTGATTATAACTAATACGGCATTCGAGAGGGTGAATTAAGGCATAGTTTTCTTCAATAAATTGAAATTGAAATACTTCGGAAAAGTTCCTCAATGATGAAACAATGTTAGTATTCAAAAGAGGTTCCAGATAAGAAATGTGGATGCGTTCTAGTAAGAAAACGGTACATAAGGATCAGGTAAAAGTTAGGAGAAATTTAGTATGCCTTTGTACCTATTATAAAGGATGAAAAGAGACCTCCGAGGATAAAGAGGATGACTTTGTAATGGTCTTCACACCCACCATGCTTGCATATAATCGAAACTGTAAAAATGTTTTAATTATGCTGAGCATGCGAGAAGAAAATAGATAATAAAGTATGAGCGAATGGACTTGCTTTTACAGCACTTTCGTTTCTAATTATATTAACTCGATTATTATAGCAGTAATCATGAGTCTATTTTTGTCTTTATCTTGTCTCTTTGTCTTGTTTCTTTTGCTGTTTATATTACAAGATATGTCACAATAAAAAGAAAAGTAAAAGGTTGAGCTTGCTAATTAATATTGGCATCAGCCTATGTTTAATGAATTATCTCAATGAGAAGTTTAAAAATTTTTTTCTTATCTTTCAGCCGTTTCCACCTTAAAGTAACACGGCAAGTAATCATAGCTTTGAGCATAATTGCAGGTATAAATATAAGTACCAAATAATCGTCCAAGGGGAAAAGACTGTTGTTGGAAGAGGTTTTTAAACCTATGTTCTTTTTGGATCAAAACTAGTCTTAAGGCAAAAATATGCCGAAATAAGTGGTTTTATATGCCATTATAAATAAAATATGCAAATATTCTATCAAGATTTTTTTATTACGTTCACGGCTGCCATAACTTTAGTATTAAGTATTCAATGTGGACTTATCTTGATTAATTTACTTTAAGATGCCTGAGTTCACTAATTTTTGCATATTCCTGATGATTTCAGCTCGTCAAGGACCAAAGAATTTAATTTGTCAGATGAACTTGTTAGTTTCTCCAGAGTTCATAGATTCGTTATCGTTTCACTAATTAGCGGTGATTTGGAATATTCTGCATTAATAGATGCGCTCTAGTTTCTGTAGAGCTAGTGGTGGATATTTTATATAAGTTAAAGTTAATCCTCAAAAAAAGATATATATCAAACATTTTTATCACGGGAGCTACTAATATAAAACTTATATTTTTATGAGGAAATACTTTTCTGGCTATTTTTACCATTTAGTTCCTCTTCAATTCTTTATTCATAACAACATTATTTTCTGGTTACAAGTAATTCTAGTATACCCTAAAAAGATAAGATGATGGAAGTTCACAATGTTGCTATTAAGGTAATTTATGTTTAAATGTATGAATTAATTTTTTTTTAAATATTTTGATAAATAGCCAATTATGCTTCCTTTTAAGCCTTTTAGTATAGCGCTATTGGTTTCACCTGTTACTTTCTTGTGAGCTTAAAGTTCAAGAAGGTAGTTATTTGTTCATACCGCTGAGGTTAGTAAACTTTATAATATTCTTTAACGTCGATCTTTTAAGATAATAGGAGAATATTTATGACCTATCAATTTTAGCTCAGGCGAGATATGGTTGAAACTGGCCTACTTGTGGGTCTGACAAATCTATTCATAGATTTAACTGATCCAAGCCGCCCGTATTCTCACTCAGGTGACTCTGAAAGTCGCCAGCTACCAGGAGCTTCTTCGACAACCCTATCCAATCAAATGACTTCCAGCAATATAAGCAAACTTAATATTGGAGGTCACTCTAGCCACCATAAAATCTCTCAGGTGTCTAGTTCCTGTGTAAATGTTGGGGGTCATCGACTTAGCCCCACATCAGCCGTTGCGCCGGATGCCGATTTTTCTGATGCTACTCAAGAGGACATTGATGGAGGTGGTCCTGGAGGAGGAGGATTAGTCGCACAAGATTTGAACCGTCTAAACTTGCCACATCAGCATCCGCCCATCTGCCCGGTGACAGCAGCTGGAGTCTCACCGATCGCCCGCCGTTTAATGCTTCAAATAATCGGGCTTATAACGAGATTTCATAAACTCGGCTTGGATCTCCAGGAGCAACAAGAAGAGGGTGACAAGTAAATTGCTGGCTATTTTGTGTTAAGAAGGCTATGGTAACTAGGATTATGCTATTTGGTTGCAGGCACATTTTAAAGAAGTGCCTGATAATATATTTAAGAGGTTTTATGTTTATTAGCAGATGTTTTAAAGGCCTTTATGTCATACATTTTCTGATCAGATTTTTAAGTGTCTTCCAACTAATGGAACAATTTACCCCTTTGATTCCTGTATTCACTAAGCTGTCTCTTAACTTGATCAGTTTCTGAAAAGAAAGTTGTCTTTTTCCAGCTTTATTACTTATTTTAATTTTTATTAATAATAATAAACTTGAAAATAGAATAGGATGATATAATATAATATACCTTATAATTATATGCTGTAATATTCTATATTATAGTATAATCATATACCTGGGATAATCACTTAAAAACAAATAAAAACAAATAAATATCCTATCTAAAACTATTTTTTTCTGCAAAACTATGGGAACCATTTTTTGATATCTCAGTTTCATATTCTTTAGCCTATTTGAGATGCTAAGTAGCAATTTGATTTAAATACGAGTGCATTACTCCCTTTAGTAAACGAATAGTCTGATTATGAATGATCGGCAAATTATGCATGGCCAAAAATATATTTATTAAGCTAGCTGTTCGTGATTTTTGTTAAACTTTCGCTTTTATCAATATTTTAGACTTATTATTCATCTGGCGCTATACTTGCACTGAAAAAATATATATTCAATCTTTAGTTAAGTAAAGTTTACTCTAAAAGTGAGTAAAGGTTTGCACATTTTTTCGACTTCATTTGTACCCCTAAAATAAGTGGTTGAATCAGTATTGAAAACGATAAAACCTGGTATTAAAATACGATTTTTAACTTTTGATTACACTAAATAATTTGATTTATGTGAGTGAGTTGAAGAGATCTCTGTAGATCTTGCCACAAGCTTCACTATTTTCCTATTGTATTATAATTACTTATACCCATTTATTTCCATGAAAAATGTAATATGACGTTTGAATTTGCATTGAGCTTCTTTACTCCACGCATCTGAATAGACTGTTCTAATCTAAATTTAACGATAGTTTCCTGATTTTTCAGAAACCCATAATGAAATTGCAGAGTTGGATGTGCTGATTGCGAGATAAGCACGTTAGGCCCTTAGATACTCAATCGTAGATCCGTTGAGCTAGATGGCAAACCTAAATTTCAAGGCGAAGCAGGCCCCACTCATTTCATCTCTCTTCTGGGAGTTGCTTTCGCTAGGCAACCTTGTGCTCACCATTAATCTTAGTACATTAATGAATCAAGTATAGTATAGACTAGTTCAATGCTAGTGAGGGACCGAGCAACCACAATTTGATTACGACATTGGTTGCCTCGCGGACGTTAAACAACATATTAAAACGGCCCTGTGTAATGCATAACGTAACTAATTTAAGCGAATAACTAGTCTTGTTTTCAATTCAATTTAGCCATAATGGCTGCCAGTTTGTTTACCACCATGAGAAAATAATGAATCTGGCTAGTGAATATCAGAATCCTAGTACTAGAGAATATGTCCATGTTTTATATGTTTGGAAACAAAGGAGTTAAAAATGCCTATAAATTCATGATTTTTATATTGCAGTGATGCTAAGATCCTTGATTGGGACAGTTGGTCTTCTCCCGTCCTTCTGGCGTGGATTCGACTTTTCCGAATTCAACTTCTGAAGAGCATAGAACATGAACTCCAAAGAGAGCAGGTTAGTATAAAATAGGTGCTGTTATAGAAATTGCAATATTTCCCATATTCTTTTGCCTTTTATGTGTAATTGACCATGCGATAGAGACTTGGTAACTTTTGATTTATTGCTATACTACTTGCTGGTACAAAAAAACTTAAGGGTTCAGTTTAAGAATACCCCGAAAAAGGGATTTTTCTAAATCAAAATTCATTTAAAAAACATGCATGGGTATGAATACAAATTTATATTAAGGAGCTTTTATGTCTCTATGTAATCTAATACAGCTCTTAAATTTACCGTAAATATTAAGCGGAAATAGAGAAGCATTTTTGTATGGCATAGACGGCAAATGAGTTGAACAAATGGATCAAGCAA